TTTGATTCAGTGTTGCAATTCCAGGATATATACGGTTTCACTAAATTTGGCAAATTAATTAATCATATTGTAGAGTCATTAGGAAATTTTGGAAGCAAGTGATGTGAAAATTGATCGAATCGGGTCTCGAACCATAGACCTCTCGAATACGTGCCGAGCGTGCTGACCATTACACCACGAAGGCATGCTAAGAAGGTGGAAGAAATACCTTATAATATAAACTATGTCATTTTTTGAATTACTTAAAATGAGCAGCAAATCGTCATCTTTCATTTCCAGGAGTTTCAGCATTGAATCAAAGAGTCCGTAAAATCAATCCAAACGTAAAATCAATTTAGATACCTAATGAACCTTCGAGTTAAGTAGTAAATCTGTAAACTAATCTTCATCATTTCCAATTAAAGCTGAATACATAATTTTTCATTTAATCTTTTGATTTTATTAATGACATAAACTAGTGACCCATGTAAACGTTCACTAAGACTTTTTGGCGGCTAAATGTTTCTGATTGAATGTACAGGTAATATATTTGGTATAGTTTGTGTTAAGTATGTTAGAAAACCTGTCATATCTGGTGCACTGTCAAAAACAATGGAGATGATAAATTACTCAAGACAATGGCTTTTACATCGAATTTACCTTTTAATTCATTGTTTCACCTTTCATATATATCAGTTTTCAAACATTTTATGAATAACAATTCTTGAGAATTTTTTTTCTTCATCTACAAATATTACATGCTTCGTTTCCTGGCAAAGTTGGCTTGTCAAGCTGTACTGAGAATTTAGATGTATTTTAAGTATTCATATAAAGAAATTTTTACGCATTGAGCTATTTCTTCAGTCCTTCTTTGTATTATTATTACTGAGTGGAATTCTTACAAAATCAAAATTGATTTATTCAGCACGGTGAGCTTTACTTCATTAAGAGCTGGCAGAGTAAGTTCATTAATGGTATACGGCTTTCCAATTTTGCAATTAGTTAAGAAACGCTGCAAAAAGCACGCAGTACTTCGTCAGATGTTGTCGCAATGAGGGTGTTTTCAAATACTTTCTTTGTTTGTTTTAAAAGAGTTAAATGTATCTTTATTTTCGTTATTGAATTTTTTCAAAAGTTTCGTAAGCTTCTTTAATTCATTTGATAAATTTTATTGCACAGAAGCCACACAGGTAAAATATTGTAACCTGGCGGCTTAAATATTAAACAGTATGCTTTCTGTATATTTTTTCGGACTGTTAGCTGGAGGAAAAGGACATAAATTCTTTTATTTTACAAAAAAATTGCTTCTAGTTTATTTGCTGCTATTTTTTGTTTTATTCTATTAATGATGTAAAATTTGCTTTTCATTTATTTATTGCTATCTATTTTAACTTCCATAGTAATGAAAATGATTCACAATTATTTTTATTTCACATTAAACCATTTGTGGACTTCTGATATTGTCCGCGCAGCCCCAAATTAATTTTAAATCGCCACAGATCCCCTCAGCGGTCATAAGGAACCCTTAGGGTCCCTAGGAATTGCTGGCCTAGTGGAAGAGATGCCTTCGTGGAGGGCATCTTAAGAGAAACTGAATCGCACGTACGTTGCTCATTGGGGAACTACTAAACCTGTAATGCAGTCACTCGTGCGCTGGAATTTGAATCCGAATCGAATTACCAGCCTTTAGTGATTCTACTCTCAACCGCTGGATGAGCTTTAATTTTTTTTTTACATAATACCGTAAGAAACCTTATTGTTCCACTTGGGACAGTTTTACATTTATATGAAGATACTTTGGTTAATATTATTATAGATTACAGTATAAATGACACTACGTAATAATGACATTGCTTGTTACACTTGCATTAGATTATTTTGCGTATCATTGTGCTACAATACAGCTTTTTGCGTTTGTTACAATACGGCTTACGTTACATATTATCAGTTTTACTTGTTATTATGCTATAATTCTTTTCACATAATTATTATACACTGCAATCAATACAATTTATGTTAGAATACCTTACTCTCGTAGCTACGGAAAAGCGTTCTACTATGTTTAACACTAGAAATATCGCATTTTTGTGACACATAGACTTACTAGTGGAAAGCTGTAACTGAATTTTAGACTTCAATGATTTTTTATTCTTATACAGTACGTGAAATAAAAACATTATGAACTCTTTTCCGATAACGAAAATTTATTTTCTGGGAGTATGAAAGGTTCATTTTACAATAATAAATGTAAATTTTATTTTATTGACTGTAGCTAAAAATGCACTACATACACAAAATTATTACCAATTTGTGCATATAAAAACAATCATTTAATATTTAGCATAATTTATTTTGGAATAATTTGGAAAAGCAATATGATTTTATGATAATTTGGAAAAGCAATATGATTTTATGATAATTTGGAAAAGCAATATGATTTTATGATAATTGAAAAACTTCAGTCATCCACACAAACCGCTGTGATTTTCGCAGGGTCTTATTTACATAATTTATAAATGAAATTTAAATCTAATTGAAATATTACACGAATATTTTTATAGAGTTTTTTTAATTATCCATGGTAAGTCTAGAAACGGATTACCTTTGAATATGGATATTTTGCGGACATTTTTGCATCTGAAGTCTGCAGTTCATTTGCGCAATTTGACGGGGAAAAACAGTTTTCATATTTTAGAAATTATAATTTATTATATGAGAAAGAAAAAATGCTTTTAGTACTAAATCTTCAGTTTTCTAAGAATTATTCTGAAGTATAAGAAATCCAAAATATAAAGAATAAAGTTTTCAAGAATCGGAAATATTAATGCCACATTTACGTAAATTAAGAATTCTCGAAATGATATCCTAAGGAATAATCGTTAATAGTACTGAAGGAGTAAGCTTTTTATGCTTTGTAAATGAATATTTTGTGAAATAAACAGGGTAAAAATCATATTTCTATAAAGCATCTTTTTAAAATATTGTTTCAATTGAAGTATCTAAAGCCCATGTTTTATAAAAATAATATATATATCTCGTGTTTTTCGTACCTAAATATTAAAAATGAATTAGGTTTCTGAGATCAAATGGAAAGGAAGTAATCAAGGAAAGGAAGAGAAGTGGAAAAAATTAAGGAAATATTAACTGTAGTTTGGGGAAGCTTTTTCTTGACAAGATGTTGTCTTATATTTCAATAAATAATTAAAACAGAGTTTTATAACTTTGTAGAAAAACATTTTAATACGCATTTGACATTTTTTCTGTTTCGATGAGTCTGAAAAGTTTTCATTTTCCTTGGCAACTGATTCAAGTTATTTTAAAACTTGCCTTTGATTTGAGTAAATTAAATTACAGAATTCAAAAACATGCAATCATTATTTACTTACTGCTGTGAATATCACATGCAAAGTACAGGTGTCTTGTCTATAAAATGCTGTCAACCCACAGCATTTTATACATGAAGCATAATACATTCCATACAGAGGAACATTCATAATTGCTTTTCTCAATATCTTTCATCACGTTGATTCTACATCATTTGTCATGCACTATACATTTCATAACATGCACGTTAACACACTGCTATATATAAATCACTCAATACACTAAAATTTACAGAATGCAATAATATTTATGTACATGCAACTCCTATAATATTTACATTCTGTGCTCCTGAATACATAAGTTGTAGTACTGCAGTTATAGTTACTATGCTTCCTGCGGCTCAAAGCATAGCTCTGCATGCTACGAGCACTTACACATTTACACAATGTGTTATACAATACAATATTCACAGTACGCTGTACAATATTCTATTTATAAAATGCACATGCTTACATTATTGCACCCGTGCATTAATGTGCTCATTACAAATATACAAAATTTAACTATTTACATTTGGATAATATTATATCATATTTACATTTTTTTTTCGTGTTTCCAGCCTAATGTTACTCTGCCCACTGACTCAAGATGGGCTTCTTGCAGAGGAACTTCTTGCACTGGAAACCAGTGTACATTGATGCTCTGAATCTCTGCGAGATTGAAGTCTATTATTGTGGATTGCATAAATCTAGTCCTAGTGCTCCAAGTTTGTTCATAATGCTTTTGAGCATCTTAAGAAAGGCCGGCTGCTTGGAGAAGCGTTTATACGCTATATCAGTATCAGGAAGCCTCATGTGCCATTCTTCCGTGAGAGAGCAAGACGTAACGTAATGAGCAGGTGTACCTACTTCATTGCAGACACAATGATCAGTTGTAATGCCAAGGTGCCCTCGCAAAGGGCGTTAGGGTTCCCAGAGTTTGCGCGAAATCGCCCATTCGACGACATTAGGCGACAAAATTGGTGACATGCCATAGACCGAGTAAGAACATTCTAGAACGAATTCTTACCGATTGTTCTGCTGTAAGCAGTACACGCAAGAGATGCAATCAAAATTGTGCAGGGTTATGTTTCTGATAGTTAACTTTTTTTGTTTTTAAATAGGTGTAAACATTTTTGTATAGCGCTAATTTATGATATAAGAATATCATAGCGAATTTTTATCTAGAGTTTAGCATTGCTATTTTTGATAACATCATTTTAAAGATACGAACTGATATTTAATACCTTAAATTTTTGGGGATTAAATCTTAAATTGGTAATTTTACGTTAACTATATAACTGAGCTGTAATTTGAATCTTTAAACTGTAATTTGAATACTAAAATCAGACTGCAATGTTTTAAAATTTTATGTATGTTAGTTTTAATAAATTCTTATGTTTTAGGAGTTTTTAGCGGTAAATTCTTATCTGAGTTGAAAGTTTGCAGTGGGAATTTTTCAGAAAGCACTTTTTAAAGTCCCTTAATTTCTTCTTAAGTTTTCGTTTTCGGGGCACATTCCTAGACAATTATTGGCATCATAACGGCGGATCTAATTCTGTTAATTACGATTTTTGTTTAATAATGCTCTTGATCTGATATGATTTACAGTATTTGTTTTAAATGTCTGTGATGACGAATGTTTCCATTGTTTTACAGATCGTCGTTTTCTGCTGGCCAATGCACAGGTAGAACAATTTCCTATCATCTACTGCAACGATGGGTTCTGCGAAATGGTAGGGTACTCTAGAGCGGAACTCATGCAGAGGCCTGCCACCTGCGACTTCCTGCACGGGCCCCTCACAAGTTCCCAGGCGACGGCCCAGATCAGGGAGTCTCTCTCCACCTGCCTCGAGAAACAGCTCGAAATTATCTACTATCGGAAAGATGGTAAGAAATTAAACTTTTTTAATTGTCTATTTGGAGTACACAGCCGCCCAGTCGGTATGGTGGTTAGGGAAGCTGACTGCGATGCCGAAGGGCCTAGGTGCGAATCTCGGAGAAGGCATGGTTGTAATTGTCCGTCCCTTCATAGGAAAGCCGATAGTGGCCCACCTATTAGGTGCCTCCATAACAAAGAAACCATCACATCCGGCCTTGTATAGATTAATAGACTGGGTTACATTTGTAATTGTTCACAATCTGCCATTGAAAAAAAAATTGGAATAAACAGAATGTCTGAAATATTCCTTTTACAATCAATATAGCAATTATGGTAATGCTAATACAATAATACAGGTATTTCTTGATATCCCTGGCACTTCAGCCTGCATACTCGTATGATTTGACAACATCCGATATTTTTCCGTGAAAGGTACTGTAGGACATGGAGTGCATAGATAATCAGCATACACCTCAGATTTCGCAACCTGTATTTCCAATTAGTATCTAGCGAATCGCAACACATTTCATGAGAAAAGCATTTTAGTGTTTAAAAGAAAGAATGTGCGAAGCTGGATCTCGGTGGAAACAAAGCCAGTTTCTACGTCTACTGCAGGCACGAGTTTTGCAAAGTTAAATGATAGTTTCATTGACTTTTCAGACACTCTGGGCTAAACTAAAATACCTCTCCAAACCTGTTACAAAAACAAACGGAAGTCTCCTAAACAGCTTGTATTTGGGACTTTTATTATCTCCAAAGTGTTGTTTGCCAGAGAAAATGATGTAAATTAAGTCGTACATAATAAAAAAGCTGGAATAAAATATTTTCAATATGAAATAGAATTAATAAATCCTTCAGGCGTATTATGGTATATGCTTTTTAATTAACAGCAATGCAGTATTCTCTTCATTGATATCAAGGCAGAGTCTTTATAGTAATTCCTTTGATGCTTGATGATGTCAGCAGTGAAGACAAACGAGCTTCTAAGCAACTTCTGAATGAACTCTTTCCGAAAATTTTTCTGTAACCGATATTTGATCTGTGATACTCGTGGATGGAAGACTCTGTCTGCAATTTCTTCCTCTGGTGACGGAAGCCTGTCTTCATACGCAAACTGAATTTATGTGTGCAATCTATAAGTAAACTGCAGCAGTAAGAATACTGCATTTCTATCACGTAACAATATTCTACACATATACATTATCACTTGTACATAACGATACATATAGAAAAAAATATGCATTTACGAACAAAATGTGTACACTGTGCTCTTTAAATTCTTGCAACAACAAAAAAAAAATACTATTGCCATTTTTCTCACCATATCATACTAAATATGTTATTAAAGCTAATTTATTGAACGTTCTATAATATATTTTCAGCATAAGAATTCTTCCGTAGTTACGTGGTAGAAGTGTAAGATTTATCCTAAGTTTTTAACAGTTAATGTTTAGTTTAAGCCACTTTCTTATCGCTTCTTAATTTCAGCTTACAATTTCCGGCCAGAATGTGTTTTTAGAAGCGCAGTTAATGCAAATAAAGGAAGAACAACTGTTTAAAGTTGAAGTTCTACTGACTTCGTTAGAGAGCCAGATATTCTGAGCAGCGCGCGTTCGCTTTTTAGGCTACTCTCTCTTAAGCTATTATTATGTTCGGCCGTACTTTAGGCCATTGAGAGCTTCGCCGTTAGTTAGCCTTAAGGGGCCAACTCTGTTACAATTTTGATAGCTTCGGCTATACCTTTTTAGTTAAGTTTTACTTCTTAGTATTCCTGAGTTCAATCCCAAGTGGGGGCTTTGTTTTAAACTTCAAAAAGGATTCATCTGTTAAATTTATTTTGAATAATAAAGGGTAATTAACACTTCTTACGATTACTTTTCTACCTCTCTGAACTAAGCGATTATTTCTTACCAATTCTTAAGTTCCACACAATTAGCAGTAACTCAAAGGTTGGAATCTTACAGATGAAATAATAAAATGGAATAGCTTAAGTTTCATCGTTCTATAAAGATACAGGTCTAACTTTTAACACCTTTTAGTTTTCTCCGACAAAATCTTTTAATACACTGGACTCCTTAATTAACCCTTTACGGACGAAGTCTCTGCACATTCGGCGGATGATAAATCCGCCGAATGTGCAGAGACTACTCTAGAAGCTCATTGTCACTCTAGAAGCCGGATGCCTTATACGAGCGGTGAAAGACGTCTTAGATTAGAAGATGACTGCCGCTTATGCGCGTTCCCGTGCAGAAAACTTGTGTGCAAATAATAACTGGCATTCTTCACTGACTGAACTGGATATAATATAGTTTGTTCATTTCTTACTTTTCAAACTATGTTTTTCTTTTTTTTTTTACTTTTAAACTTATTAGCCCAGAAGAGCTATTAATTTCGTTTTGGCATTTTGCATTGATTCACTATAAACGTCGGTTTACTTTTGAAATTGTCGCCACCAAATATTTACAGCCCTGTGTTATATATAAAGAAATTAAATAATGAAGAATCTGAATAAATGTACGCATGTTTCTCGCATTGCGATAAAACAATAATACCTAGAGTCATCCAGTTTTCAATAACTTAATCTTGTACCGACTTTGGGCATCTGGAAGCCCTAATTTGGAATGTGAAATTTATTTTATATTATCTCTTTCATATTTTGTCAGACATTAAAGAATTTTTGATTAGGAAACTCAGCGAATTCAAAGCGAGCAGTTGCAACACTAAACCGGGAAAAAAAAAAAAAAAAAAATTATCTCCAAGTACGCGAGACAGTGTATCGAAAAATCCAAAGATATTCTCATTTAAAAATTATTTTGCTACATTGCTGTTGCACTGAATTTTATGCTTTAAGTGCGAATAACATAGTATTTAATAAATAAAGCTAACACACAAAAGGTCAAAATAAGTCCTTTTGGCCGCAATGTAAAATCTGGAAGCTTTCAGAGTTTTCATTTTATTTTACTGATTTTTCATTATTTTATCCCTTTTTATTACCTTCTAATGATATCTAAGAGCATGTGTTTCTGAAATGTAAAGAAAATTTTGTTTTTTCTTCCACTGTGCTGTAGTACCTCGCATCTCGGACAGGGGTTACTTATCTAGGTTTACGTTTATATGTTATGCTTATATATATCATTATTTTCTTTGAAATATCCTTGTATTAGACAGTGTTTAATAAAAATAGAAATATATACATGAGAATAAAACTAGGAATGAAAAAAACAAATTATGTCGTCTCTTGCAAAACTAAATTTAGCTAACTCTAATGCTAAGAAAATAATGAATGTGCTATAGGGAGTGAAGATCTTTGAATTAAATAACAAACTAAATTAAGACGACGTTGCTCAGAAACAGCTTTAATAGATGAGAGATGCATTTATTTATGAAAACTAGTCGTTCATTATAAAGAATATCTTTTTTCATATCATTTTGGAGAGGATTAAATTCCTAAGCCATATCACCAGTGTTAGGTTTTGCGGACAATACAGATAGTAAAATTAATGGAATATACTTTGTTTCTTATAAGCAGTATGCATTTTCAATTTTATCGAGGAGCCTAAGTAAAAATAATTGATTACATCAATAAATAAAGATTTTTATTTCGGTTTCCTTTAAATTAGGTTTAGCGACAAAATTTCTTCGTTCTTTACAGTGAAATCGTTTGCGCCAATCTCCACCTTCATAGTTACATAAGAGAAACTAATTTTTCGCTTGCGCTTCAAAACATTAATACTCATGTAGCAATATAATAATAATAATATGTTTTTAAAGTGGAACACAGTAAATAAATAAATAAATACCGCTCAAATATTCTTTTTCTAAGCAGGAGATATAATTTTTTGAAGTGCTGAATTCTTTATAATGAATGTGGTGAATGCCATTAAAATTTATTAAAATTGGTTATATTAATCACATAGTATGTAACCGAACGAAATGTTATTAACACCTCCAGACTATTAAGTGATGTTAGGAAGCATAAATAGTAAGAAAATATATTAAATTCTTAACAAATAAAAAATTTATTAAAAAAAAGCACTTTTTTGAAAAATATTAAAAGTTGAATATATTAAATATAGTGTAAGAAAATACAAAATATATTTGGCAGTCATTGATATTAACAGTTAATTTTTCATTAACAGATATATTAGTCAGATTTCTAACAACTTAAGTAGCAGATTAAATTCTTTAGAAACAGAATATGTTAGAAAACAAAACTATTTTGATAAGATTAATGTTTGAGCAACTCAACTCAAACCTCATCATTTGTGTACTTTTTACATTTAAAACTAAGAATAAATTAGGATAGAACTTTTAACCTTTAAAATTTACTCGTCTTTTTTTTTTAATATAAAGTTTAAAAAAGTTATTTAAAGATTTAGAAGTTGGATGATTAGATTACATCTAGTTGAATCTTAATTTTACGTGATAATTTCTTATGCGGTTGCATAATTATCATAATCTTTTTTAAAGCTAGGATATAAACTATCTAACGGATAATTAGGGAAAGATTAAAAAATGGTTAAACCATTTAGTTCATGTTATTTTTGCTTTAATTTTTGCTTCATATGATCAGAGCTAATTATAGAACTTTTTGTCAAACTGAGAACACTTAATACTAATTTTTATTTCTTCCATTCTTAACGAATATATGTCTATTTCAACATATTTTTTACTATTATAACGATAACAAATTTGTAAATGAATTTTTCTTTATAAATATTTTCTTAAATTGTCGTTAGAACGTTTACAAAAAGACTTTGCTATTCTGGATTTCCATTGTGAGCAGTATAATTATATGTAATATTCTATGCAGTCACAGTTAAGGAAATTCATGAAGTCACGGCTATGGAAGGTCAACAAACTTATTTTGCTGACATTCGTATTTTAAAAATGTTAAGACCATTTTGTTTTAAGATAACGATTTCAATTTTTTGCATGCATTTATGTTTTTCTTAAAACCGTGCATGGACTTAACATTTGTAATTATTTTTTGAGAAAGTATTTATAC